GGCTTAATGAGTGCGTATGTGGCCTATACAATGACTTGCGGTGGCTAGCCGATGAACAAGTGGGTCCTCCCAGACGAGTCTGGTACCAATTGAGATCCCAGAGGGATGGGAGGCTTGGTTGGCCTAGACGGGCATCGATCCGGGATTCGAACCACTGACCGCGCGTGTGAGATAATGCGCCACTTGCCACTACACCACCTCCGCCCTGTTGCTTAATATTATGTGCTGTTATTGGTATTTATTTATCCTATGAAGAATTCTAACCCCTTGCTCGTTACATGATTCCGCGTGACTGCATCACATCTCGGGTTGAAAAGCGGTTGGAACTTCCACTTAAGGATCATTGGATCGACCTTCTATTAGAAAGGAAACTCCATCATCATTACTTTTTAGCTCTGATTGCAAGACCTGAAGAAAATAACCCTTCTCGCTAATTCCAATCACTGCTTCTTTCAGGCGCCAAAAGGAACTATCATGTCTGATGAAGAAGAAAGCACTTACACTCCCTCTTTCCGAATCGGATCCGGTCAATCGTGGCATAATCGTTCTCATCACGATTTGGCGATATTGCTCGTGGTGGTGACACTGTCTGTCCTCGTTCCGGGGTCGTTCGTTCTGTGCCGCCGAACCAGCGCTGAAAACGATATTAGAAAAATTGGCAGACGTTTAACGGATCTCAGCGCAGGATTCATCACGAACATCTGTCGATTTTTCGCGGCATTTCAAGAGTTGGAACAGCCCTATTCCCGAGTTTCCGAACCGTTCAGCTCATTTCAGCTTATGAATCTACGGCTGTTATATTCTCTCCAAAGTCAAGGCATTGAAGTTGTGGAAGTGTAGGTGGTATTTGGACGGATCTATTTCCAAGTAGAAACGCGAATAGAGCTTGAATGAAGATCCGTTCAGGACGCTTATCATTCTCTGGTAGTGGGAATATTGAACTTGTGCGTATAGCAACATGTTTAGTGGGCAGTGAGAAAAAGAAGTGAATGCGGAAATAGTGTAGACTCATGTTCTGGTTTATCATTTCTTCGACTACCGATGGGTTCAGTATGGGACAAAGAAACGCCACGAAAGAGTCTTCGGTCTGGAGGTGACGTAGCCCGCTTATGACCGTTTAGTTGTCGCTCAGTGGAGTCGAATAAACAGCTATATAATGATGACTTAATTGCTGCATGTATTAGAAAAAAGCGGCGAGAAGAGTTCTGAAAAAAAAGGTCAATGCGCTTCGTCCAGAAGAAATTTCTGAGCAATTCAGACAGCAAAAACACCCTTTTCCCTTCTATTCAAGATGAATTTAGTCATACATACGATTTATATTCTACATATGAAGAGTCCTGTTCTGAGGGAGCATTTCTACTCGAGTTGTTCTGAATCCCTTTGAGCTTGAGCGCATCGTGAACAAGGCCTGACAGCGTTTGACCGCCCATCTAACAATAAGAAACCGCTGTGCTCCAGCCACTTATCCGTGAAGAAATATCATTCGCTACAACCTACGCAAGAGCTTTCTCTGGTACCTATTATCTGTTCAAACATCGGGCGCATACCGGCAATCTGTTGATTTCTAGTTAGAGTTCAGGGCACGGAGGGGAATAAAATCAGAACCTTCAAGCCGATATCGCTGGTAATGCTTCCATATACTTTATCAAACAGAAACAACACCTTGCATTGAAAACCCTGTTTTCATCCTTGCTTAGGGTTAGATCATTCTATAGATACTACCTGGAAGAATCCTCCTCCACTTTTCTTTTCCATCTTCTTGTGCTTTCGTTGTCGTCTTGTAGAATCTCCTCTTACTGATGAGTGCTCAGGCGGTGTACCGCTTCTGAAAAAATGAGGATTAATTGATTGAAAACGAAGAGCTGCTCCAGAGATCGTAGGACTCACGCTGGAGCTGAGGATCCTCTCAAAGGTCTGAAACCGGGTTTCCGCTTTTGCCTGGAACAATCGTATTCATCTTGTGAGCTGTCATCAATCCAAGGCAAACTTTCGGATACGGTTACTGGTTTAGTATTTAAGGGCACTACATCCACATCCAACGGCACATTCCACATGGACATTGCACTAACAGGACGTTCACGACGTTCACGTTTCGTAGTGATGACGCTCTTACTGCTGGAGCTGGAGGCTTCGTGTGACGAGGATCGCGTCTGTTTTATTCGTTTCAATTGCGATTTCCCATAAACAGGGACCGGGATATGTTTGGCGCCAGGTTTTTCATAGCGATCGTCACCGGAGCCATCAGAAACACCACGACGTCCACATTTACAACAGACACAACACCGACAACACAGACATACCATCGTTCGGACCTTAAACAGGAACACTTCACAGAAACACAAACAGAGTGGCACATGACACAGTGACAACGATGAGCAGCTTGATCGTTGTATAAACTTGATCTCATCAGTTTGCCGGAGATTATAACGTAATTCAATACTCTTTGACAGATGAGGAGTTGTAATTTGACGACTTTCACGGTGGAGATATTTCGATTCAGTTACTACAGCAAGGTCAAGTTAAGTGGCCTTGTTCGAGTTGAATGCTGGCTGCTGTTTATATGTGGTATCCAGTATCCGACTTCTCCCTTAGAGTGCACGTTATGTCCTCTGGGTCTGCTGTTACGCTCAGTGGGCGATATTCATCAAGATTTATGTCTGTTATTTCTATACCGCTCTTTTGTTGTTACAGAAAACGATAAAAATAAAAATAGAAAAGACACACGGCCATTGCTGATCCTTTTCACAAAAATAGGTAACTGTTAGTCGCTAGTGACTAGTGACCCTACTTCGATATATCACACGCGAGTGATCCACTAGAAAATAAGGGCAAAGTCCTCCAACTCTGTAAATACACATAGAAAAGGACAGATGAACAGTTCCAACCGATTCGCATTGATTAAAAAAGTGCCATCGTTGAACTTCTGAAAGTTAATTTTTCATTTTTGGCAAAAAAAAAAANAAAAAAAAAAATCTGAAACTGTTATCTTGAGCAGGTCATCTGCATTTGGATGAATGAATTAATGCCTCCAAAGGATTGACTTCTTTAGGGGTCACGCACTGATTTTCCTGGCTGTAGCCCTAACAATATACTTGCAGGGTGCTCGAGCTCTCGCTCTCCCCACAAAACGGCAACCAGAAAGTTGTAGGATTAATAGCCATGCAACAAATAGCGGTCCAGGGTGCTTGAGTATGTTAAACCCTGCATCACTTTAGAACGAATGTTTTGATTGTTAAGATCATCGTAGCTACTGAACACTAGCTGGAGTGGAAATTTTTCGTGACTGCGGCAAACAAAGTGTTCGGGTGAAACTTATATGATGTCGTGTGCGAATGACAGAGATTGAAAGAGATTCGCCGCGTATTCGACTTCTAATCAGAATCGCAGCGGCTGACTGAATGCTGATATTTCCTATACAATTACTTACGGTGGCCAACCGGTATGCAAGGGTACCGACTTATATCCTTTCTGACAAACCTTGATACCAACCAAGTGATTCCAGTGGGATTAAACGCGGATGTCATAGACGAGTACAGATCTGGAAATGTACCGTGGACCATGCATGTGTGATAGCGCCAAACTTCACACTACCACCTCGCCGGGTGTGGTGCGATTCACGCGCCGATATAATGAGGTCATCGGGCAAAAAGCGCTAAAACGTCATGCCTACCA